ATTGTAACGTTTTTACACGTGTAAAAACACGTACCACCTCTGCCTCATCGTAAGTGGAAATTTCCTATCAATGCCTGCTTTGAAGCGTACCCGCACTGAAGAGCGCTCCAGCAGTCGAAGCGATGCTCTTGTCGGGCATACTGTCGACGAGGCCAAAGCTCTCATACCGCGCACGCCCGAGGAGAAGACCACTGGGCAGAGGCTTGTTGTGGTAATAGGAACATCCACTATGGAGTGTTGGTATATATTAGGGATCTGAAAGAGATGAGTGTCCGACGATTGAGCAGTATCATCCCAAGAGGATGAAATACTGTCCCCCAATATTCATGTTTAAAATGATCCGACGATTTGAAAATTGAAGAGGAACGCCGATTTTTCGTGAGGAAGCCTGAAAACTGAAGTTCGACATGTTCGCATCTCGTAGAATCTGACGATTTCGTTTCAATAAGAGCGATTGTCGCGAAGATAATGAGGAGGAAAATTCCTATCCCAAAATGGGATCCGCGATGCCCTCTTCTGTGTTAAGTTCGCCTGCTGTACTCGACAGAAGTGCCAAGGCCCGCTTTTTGATGCTACAACTCTTCACCGAATCTGCTGAGCTTTGTTTGCCGTAGTCAGTGTTGAGTCTGAAAAACCAAGTTCCAGGTTGGTGATATGTATATGTTTCTATTAGCGATGTATGTGTTTTTTGAGAAACACATTTTGTATCGTTAATTTCACTTTTATAGGACCACCAATAGTTCTTTTACTGTGAAAGAACTATTGGTGGTCCTATAAAAGTGAAAGTTTCACAGTGTTCCTCCACATAGTCAAAAAAAGGGGAGCAATGATAAGTAACTACTATTTCGTTCCATTCGGTCTGTCCCTGACGCACTACTATCAATAATTCTCCTATTGTAGGTCTTAGAAAAGGCCGCTTTAGAGGTTGTGCAAGTGAAGGGTAAATACGAGTTGTTGAACAGTGATGATCATAAGAATATTCTGGCGAAGTCGGGGAAGGACATATCCTCATATCGACCTGATATAACTCATCAGTGTTTGATGATGTTGTTGGATAGTCCGCTCAATAAGGCTGGCAAACTTCTTGTATATGTCCACACTATGAACAATGTAATAGAGGGGGGTAGTGGAGGTTCTATTTTCGCGTTCTTGGTTGGTCTAATGGTAAGGTTGTAGTTTGGTAAGCCGGAGGACGCTGGTTCTAATCTCTGTGTTGTCTTTGTGCTGGACACTGCTCTGATGTCTCGATCTTTTTACGGTATAGATTCTACGCTGATTTTTCTGTGCTCTGCTCACAGCCAATACGTGGGTGCCCTATGAAGCACTATTGTTGCTTACGGAAAAGTATTAGTCCTCCATTTCCGCCGTCGGGGACTTGTTTCCAACACTACGCGGTGCCCCACTGCCGCACTTTCAGTGTACTCTAGGAGAGCCTTGATTCGATACGTCGATTGCTTTTGAATGCAATCTTCTGAGCGTCCGTCAATCATCCCCGGTTCGTATAGTCTACATCGTCCTGTGATCTGAGTTCACGGATAAATCACGCACTTTACGGAGCTTCATCGTTGTTCTGTTTTTAGAACAACGATAGAACTTCTATCGCATGCTTATATAAAACGATTATTATCTATTGTCCATTCAGGTCCTTATCGAGGTGAGCCCCGCCCTGAGGATGCCTCGAACCTTCAAAAGGTTTTCCGGTCTTATCGTCGAGCTCCTCAACAAGAATAAGATTCGGGCAGCCAACAGTAGTACATCTTGGAAATCTTCGCTGTGCGCAACGTATCTTTGTTGTTCAGGTAGTGAGATCCTCATGAAGGTAATCGCAAATCCTGTACAGAAGTACCTCCCAGCAGGAGGCATCAAATGTGGACTTTCAGTAGACGGACGTCTCCTCACCTGTAGTAGCACAATCTCATATAATAGTGGAATGTGATCTAACGCAGGTCCGCAGTGGTTGAAGTCACATGATGAGACTAAAGACTCCAAAGGCCGCTCTTTGATCGATACAGTTCCTGTCACTGTAGTTATCGGCGCTGTGGCGCATGGAGAGCCTTGCTCGGTGAGTTGATGTTTGAAGGCATTCCCATTCCACAATGGGTATACTTTCGGGGGGTAAAGTGAGTGAATTATTCCGCTCGATGGTCGCACATATTCCACCATAATTGTGAAATGTTTGATCGGGCTTGTAGTGTTCGAATCGATTGCTTTGATGCTTTTCTTCTTCAGGAACCCCGCTTCGGTGGTGACTATGTAGAGGAGACAATCGCCATATCCAACCACGGCCTCAGTGCTGCTATCTGTTGCGCTAAGCTCACTTGCGCTTTAGAGGATCGATGGGGTATCATATAGAGCACCAACGTCAACTAATACGTTTTACTAGTATTCCTCCACATTAAAGTTCTATTGTGTTTGTAGTGACTTGGCTGAACCTCTGGTACAATGGTGATATAGTTAGTTTCCGTACATATATCAAGGCTTGGCTGTTCATTTCGGAGCTGTTGAGTTCGCAGCCATACTTCTATATTGGCTACTCTCTGCTTGGTGGAAGATTTGCTGCTACATGACGAGATGAAGTAGTTGAAAGATAATGCAAGGGTATATTCTCGGGATGGGATAGATCCGAGGATCTTCCGCTTACTAAACACGCGAATCGACCACGCGACCAAATGATTCTTGTGAAACCCATACTCTGCGTTCCAGTACCGTCCTTCTTCAATCGATGGAAATAACCTTTATAATACAAAACGAATCGGTTAAGTAGTTTGCCTGGCTCGACTGTTGAAGATAGTAATCATTGATCCTCTGAATGGCTTCTCGTTATCTGATTATAGGATGATATTCGAAGTGCTCCTACACAGAAAACTCATTAGCATGATGAAAGTAGACATCTATAAGGCTAAAACTGATCCCTCGGAAGCCAATGTGCATCGATGCTAAGAGTCTAACTAAGCCGTGTTGTCGTAGGCGTTGGACTTCAAACTCACACACACAGAGAAAACTACTTATAATATTACTGATTCCTCCAGATTTGCAATAGCCAGAATCACTCTTACCATATTGAAACCATTTTTCGTCACAACAGGTCATCACTATCCTCCCTACTACTTGACGAACACAATACTCATGCTGTATGGTACATGAAGCAAATCGAAGTGTGAACTTAGTTGTTGTTGGTATCAGCATCAGCAACAACAACGAGAAACCAGGATATCAAACACGAGAAAAACGAGCTCTGTGGTAGTACATCATACACGTCATGACCCACCGAGAATGATGAATAGGGAGGTGATGACGGAATAATAATCTCGAGTAAGCCACATGGAATGCCTACATTGGCAACAACGAAATTAATGAGGATAAAAACAAACTGTGGGGCCAGGGCTCGCCTGAGAAAATGTCGTTTTTACGGCAGTAGCAGCTAAATATCGTTTTATTATCGGACAGCAAAGAATTGTCAGAGACAGAATTGATAACGACGGTCTCAAGCCAGGAGGTCTCCAAGGGCCATACTGTAATCCAAATGGGTCTGGGCGTAAGGATCGCAAACTTCAGTCTGCTTTGGTTTTTGGGGTACATATTCGCGTACACGCCTCCTGTGACGATGCGAACGGCGGGGTAGCCGAGGATTCGTAGGAGCCGGGAATTCAAGTCGCTTCCCCGTACCTAGTTCGAAAAGTCTCGGTCGAAATTCTTCATCAGCCGCATTCACCGGGCTCTCCTTGAGGTGATCGATTTGAGCCTGCAAGCCCTGATTTTTCGCAGGCTCCACTACCAATGGCATACAATCGTCCAGAATCAAGTTGTTGAAACCATCGATCATCTTCTGAGCGTGCTCCTGGTCAACGAAATTCACAAAGGCAAATCCCACCGCCTCGCGAGTCTTGAAATTCAACGGTACATAGAGGAAATCAAAGGCTCCTTTCAAGCCAACCTCGTTGAACACTTGTTCCACATAATCGACGTTGCAGTGGGGTCGTAGATTATGCACCATAACAGTAGTGAACTTCTCGTGGTTGTCCTCTCCGTGTGACGCAACACAAGCAGCTGTCGTCTCGTCATCAGAGCCAACCCTATACGAAGACCTCCGAGGCTCCCGTTGAAACCTCGTACACGAGCGACTGCGTGGACGGCTAAAGGTGGACTCCTCCTGAGGTTCGGGGACCGCACAGTCACTCGGTACGCTGCTGCTACCGAAGTGGAGGAATGTATTGTACAATTGACAGTCCAAGTCACAGTCAATGCTGGAGGAATAGCTATTGGAGATTTTAGTAGATGTTGTTGATGCTGATGGTGATGATGAACACATATTCTCAACAAGTAGAAAATACTGGAAAATCGCCTCTCAATTGGTTTCATATTCTCTACAGCGATACACGACAAAACCTCACATATCGATTATTTCACAGTACAATTTTTGCATTTTTCAAACACCGTTGGTGTAGAAGGCGGCGCGGTACAACTGATGACAATCCGAGCAAAGCCGAAGAACGGGTCGATTATGGCACAGTATCAAGTGCTCAGAGCACATCGAGATAAATCAGACTCGGCCGCTATCAAGAAGCTGGAGACAGAAATTGCACAAGAATTCTGCACGCATGCACACGGCCTGACGTCGCCACTTCATGATGCTCGGCCAACACATGAATTAGACTTCAGTGAGGAAACTGGACAGTTGAACGGAATAAGACTAGTCGAATGTCTTCACACAATGGACCTCGTGGAAACACGGGACGATCTTCATCTCCTTGTAACCCAAAGAGGCGAACATGGCGCGAGAGGGTATATTACTAAGTTGGATTTTGGCTATGAACCTAGAAGGGCGATTCAAGTGCAGTGTGAACCAAACCGTCATGTAAAGTAATATTTACAACTCCTTCAATTTTTGAGAATCGATTGTGACCAACGTTTTAGAATCGTTACTCTCGAATTGAAGAAAGCCTAAATATGCATAACTGTTCGGTTCGCACTAAGCATTCCGAAGCTGAGCATGAACAAACTCCGCAGCAAAACTCTTACCAATTGGTAGAGTTAGTCGAAATTGCAATCAGCACGTGAGAAAAGGCGTCTCGAAATCCATACAAGGAGTTCAACAGGCCTCGGCTGAATTTCAAAAGCGCATTTCTACGATCGAGTTTTCCACGTAGTAAAATCCAATTCTGGGAGCACTCATGAGAGGTCTTTCGAACACGCTGATAAGTTTCATGCTAAGCATCGTCTCGAGCACAGCGGAGCGAAGCGTTACACGATATGCATCAAATTGAAAGGATGCTACACTGGACGGGGATTATATCAGTAAGGGAAGGCATGCACATGGTCAACTACATGTGTTGGTGACAATATGAAAATTCTGAGGAAACTTGGGCATTTTTTCTGTTTCTGTATACTATCCGAGTTCAAATGTAAACTTCAGTAATTAATGAGGAAACTCCCGTGCTCAGCGGAGGAAAGCAAACATATATTCCTACTCCAACACTGTATAGGAAACTCCTGAGCTCAGCGGAGGAAAGCAAACATATATTCCTACTGCAACACTGTATAGGAAACTCCCAAACTCAGCTGAGGAAAGCAAACATATATTCCTACTCCAACACTGTATAGGAAACTCCTGAGCTCAGCTGAGGAAAGCGATTACATATATTCCTACTCCAACACTGAAATATATACACCACATCGCTCGGGGAATTTTTACTCACCGTTTTATGCCGAGTTCTTCTCGACAATACTCTTCCATCAATCTCACCGCTTCCCTCGCAATTCCTTTCCGTCTACTCTCAACCACTGCAGTCATCACAGATATTTCCGCAACTGAAAAAATACCAAAAATTACTTTTTTCGAGCTGAAAAATTTCAAAATTTCCCAACAATGAAGTTCACCAAGCGTTTTAAAGCCAGCAAATTCACCTCGAGTGACTTGGCCCGTTTGAGCATCCTCATCATCAGAAAGGAAGCAACCAACATCGCCACACATCGCGCCGCCTGATACAAGTAGTAACTCTGTGAGAAAAATTCAAAACCAGTGAAGGGAAAAATTACATGTGTTGGTGACAATATGAAATTTCTGAAGGAATTTTGGGAATTTCTTGTTGGTTTTTGTACACTTCTACCCCAACTCGTATGCACAATTCTTTAGTGAAGAAATTCCCAAACTCAGCTGAGGAAAGAGAGCATATATTCCTACTCCAACACTGTATAGGAAACTCCTGAGCTCAGCTGAGGGAAGCGATTACATATATTCCTACTCCAACACTGTATAGGAAACTCCTGAGCTCAGGTGCTGAGGAAAGCGATTACATATACTCCTACTCCAACACTGTATAGGAAACTCCTGAGCTCAGCTGAGCAAAGCGATTACATATACTCCTACTCCAACACTGTATAGGAAACTCCTGAGCTCAGGTGCTGAGGAAAGCGATTACATATATTCCCACTCCAACAACACTGTTCAGAACGAGTCGGTTATATACATCTTCTCAGCACTAAAATCATACTTCTCCGAATTCTCCTCAAACTCAACTTTCGACAGAATTAAATCATCATCATCTCCATTTTTCCTTAGTTCCTCTACACCGTTTGAGTCGCCCAACAACAGATAATACACTCCACAAGGCTACCCACGATCCTTATTAAGGATCATGGGTAGCTTTGTGGAGTTGAGGATTCCTTAATACGTCCCCCACTTCAGCAACGACATACCAGCAGCGATGTCCCCAAGGCTTGGGTCAGCCTTTCGAGACTTATCCAGAACGATGAATATAATTTTATCCACATCTTCATACCACGCGGTTTGCATTTCATATCTATAAAAGGGCACATCATGGTGAAGCTATGTCGAACTCATTGAGTTAATCATGTGTCCACTGCCAAGAAATCACAATACCGATACGCACAACACTTCTGGGGATGATTCACTGCTTGCACGCGTCTTTGCGAAAATATATTTTCTCACTAGTGTTTTCAAATATCCGGTGAATGAGCTCACATAAAGATGATTTCACTGGAGTTTCACCCGTTCCACGTAAAACTCGGCGAATTCGAGGTGAATTGAAAATATTCCCAATCGTTTGTCACTAGTGTTTTTCATATCACAAGTGGAACTCCAAACTCACTCTTCTTCAGGTGTCAATAACTCGCTTTCAGTTTCCTCCCGTAATTTCTCCGAATTCGCCATCCACGAGTGATACGTATCAACCTGACAGTATAGGAGACAGATATGCACAGGGCCAACTACATGTGTTGGTGAAAATATGAAAAAATTTCTGTGGAAATCTGGAGAGAATTCTTGTTGGTTTCTGAACACTTCTACCCTAATTCGTTTATAAACTTTTGTGATTAATGAGGCAACTCCTGAGGAAAGCTTACACATATTACCCCAACACTGCAACCAAAGGCGTTACTCAACTTTTCCAATAAATTTTTTCCAATCTTCCAATTTTTCAATTTTTCAATGTCCCTCACTTACCATCTTCCGCGTGTACGGCACTAAAATGCATCTGCGGCCTTCCAAACGAACATTCCCGTTGATTTTCGTGCTACGCTGTGAACAACACAAAAACAAACAACTGCTGAAAAACGGGCTCGGCTCGCGGAACTGTGCAAAAGCAACTACAGTGTGGGGGAGAATATGAAAATTTCAAGGAATTTATTCTCCCACATTTCCACCGAAATTCGTATACAAACTTCTATAATCAATAAGGAAACTCCACCCCTCAGCTGAGAAGAGCGGACTCACATTCCTCCAACACCGACGCACTGTATTTGCTTTCACCACAACAACTAGATTCAACGGGTGCATATTATCGATCATCTGATCGATTTTTCCTTTCCCTATACGTCACTGTCCACAGTCTCGGTGTGTGTAGGCATCCCAGTCATCTCAACACGAGTAGATCAGATCGATAGCAAACCTATATCAACAACAACCATTTCAATTCTTCCATACAAGAAGGACCTTCAAATGGGAGACAGCCTCAACACAACAATACGATCATTTCATCGGGAATACAACACTATGAACAAGTACTAATCTCAACGCAAAAGCTCTTGAATGTGGAAGCTGCACTATTTTCGAAACTGCTGTGACCAGCAGCAGCGACGACTGAATGTCAAACCACACAGTGTATAAGTCATCACTCAACCACAAACTATGCAGATGATCCCTGGAATATTACGATCTAGAACCCAGCAGTGCCAATGCGTTGTCGAGCTACTTCGTATCTAATAAACACAATAAAGTTCCATACCACACCAATCGCAACTTCCAACTTACGAGACGTCATCACGAGTTACCACCTCTGCTTGCGAAGACCCTGACGACGCCGATTCTGGTGTTCCTGACATACGTAAAATCCGAATAAAAACTCCATGAGAATTTCGTGGCGTGCGCTACTGCAGAGTGATTATACAACTTGTTGCCTCAATAAAAATGCTATGGAGCACACGTTCAACTAGATCCCCCCCAAAATGATAAAAATGTCTTCAGTACATTGGAGTTTCACGACCCGTTTTACGTGAAGTGGCAAAATACTCTATGAAAAACACGATATTCGCGGTGATATGCAGTAGTCGTGAAATATATTCTCCACTAGTGTTTTTCATACCACTAGGGTAAAACTCCATTGATAATGATTCACTAGATCAAATTAAGATCATGATGCACTCGGACACTTCTGTTATAAATACGGACCTTTATATGCCACTATTGAAATCACTTCGACGACACTTCAATGTGGTGACAAGATGAGTAAGCACGGTATTCTTTTTGACATCATCAGCAAACACCCTCCCAAATTATCAACTCACCTGGCGCTTCCTTCTTGTCCACCTCCGGGGCTAACACTGCAGCTTGCGGTAAGAAACCGTAGTTATCGAGTTCCGGAGCGCCCTAAATTGGAAAGAGAAAATCTTCGCCGTGCGCAAGATCATTAATATAACTCGTACATGTTCTATCCAGCCAGCGAAAGATAAAATTTCCTTTAAAACTTCGAAAAATATAAAAATAAAGGAAAACCAAAAAGACCGGAAAAAATAGGAAAAATCGGAAAAAAGTCGGGAAAAAATCGAAAAAAATCGAAAAAATATTAAAAAGAAACCTGAGATCGATTCGTATCCACAAATTCCACCTTCCTCATGTACCGCGCGCGGACGACTTTACACAAACTACTCGGGCGTTTTGGCGATGTTCGACTTCAAAATCACACGCACGACCTACTGGTCTCTCACTCGCTTTACATAAAATGGCCAACTATGGTGCATGAAGTTCGCGAAAAGCGGTATGAGGAATGAGAACTGTGCTTTTAGTTGGTATTTTCATATCACAGATGAAACTCTAACACGATGAAATAATGGAGTTTGACCGGTGATATAAAAACTATTACACTAATTATTAACGACTATTACACGTTTTATTATACTCGTTGTTCACTAGTGTTACACTATTGAACAACATATATCACATTTCACTTTATATCGCGAAAAACGTGTGAAACTCTAATATTCATCGCTCCGCTCACCATGCTTGGTTGCCGGTGACACGGTTGTCTGTTGGTGTCACCGACCCGTGGCAGGTCGTGCATATCTAGCCTTGTACTCAGCTGTGAGAAATCCTATAACGTAAAAGCCCACACCAAATAGGGACCACCACGTGACCAAACGCCAACCGTACAGCAATGCTGTAGTCGATCCTTCACTACTCGTTGGACTCCTAAAATGAACAACAATAAAATCATTCACTCACAACAATACAAAAAACAACATCAACAAAGTTGATGACCAATATACAGTGCGTGCCAACTTGATATGCAAATGTGCGTTATTTTTCGAGGTTAATGAGAATCAATATGAAACCATACCGCACATACAATGTAACGATGGCTATGAACATGTGTTGTGATGATGAAAGTACCGTTTGGGACTGTGATGATAGCGCCCGCTTGTTCACTATAGTTTGTCTTTCAAAATAAGACACGTTTGCATATCAAATTGACACGTAGTGTACTTAACAGTAGATGCAACTCTTTAATATTATATACTAAGCCTCGAATTGTTTGTGACGGTCGCGGGTTCGATTCCCAGGAGAGGCATTTTTCGTGTATTTTCTGTTCGCTCACCATCACAGCGACGACATAGACCGCGGCATAGGATACATACACTACACTCTTCCGAATGGTATGTGTCTCGACGAGAGTTCAACTGGTGTAGTCGTTGTGAAATAATTCAACGAATGAACGAACACACAGGAAATGCGGCAAATGGCAGTTTATGATCCGCTCGATATCTCCGCAACAATGCAAGCCATCTAGAAAGACGGGACAGACTTTGCAAGTGCGAGCCCAATGCCTTCCCCATTGGCCAACTCAGTGGTGATGATATTAATGAAGATAAATAACAAACATAATATAATACCCATCTTGGCAACTATATAGTTACTCGTGGTATGTATGGATACAATAAAGGGAATATTCAAATAATATTATCATTAGTAATTTAATATCACTGGAGTTTCACCTGTTTAACGTGAAGTGGCGTAATACTCCATGTACATTATAGGACGTGTATGTCTTCACGACCGATAACATAGTTGTACTCGCCGAAGTGAATTGTGAAATATGTTTTTCGTATCACCAGGGTGAAACTCCATTATACGATATTGCAAATAACTCACCCGTATCTGTCCATAACAACTCCTGACAAGAATGGCGCTAAGAAGTAGCCGAAAAGGTTGTAGATGAGCATCGAAAACGCCGAACTGAACGACCTCATATACGCTGGTACGGTGGTCATGAGCACCTGTCGACAGTCAATTCCATACAATAATCGATCACTAGGGCGCGCGCTTTTCTCACCCCCACACATATAGGCATGAGTGAACCTCCTGCGAAAAGGCAGATCCACAGAGCAGCCACAAAGGTCTTTATCTCGGTAACCATCGAGGAGGCGATTGCCATTATCTGAATCAACCGATCACACAAAAACAGTAATAAAATGTCGTAAATTGGTCACCAAAACACCAACGAAGTGGGAAATTTTCTCCGAAAAAATCGTCCAGTCATTTCCAATAACACTATTATCCAAACCTACCGCAGATATGAGTGCAAAGCACAGAGAGAGCTTCAGCGATATGAGCTGTGATCCTCCACGATACCCTCCAAGCTTGTCACAAGACCACCCACCAAACCACCTGCGGGAAAAAATATACGTGCGTTGGTGAAAACATGAAAAAATTTTCGGGAAATTGTTATTGGTTTCTGTACATTTCTACCCGAATTTCTATATAAACTTCTATAATCAGCGAAGAAACTCGTGAGCTCAGCTGAGAAAAAATAACAAATTTTCCAACACCCATTTTTACAACACTACTAAGACGGCCCTATAATAGAAGAAATAGAAAACACTACGAATTAGACTTTCCCGTTGTAGACCCAAATTGTGCGGTTCGATTCCCAGCGGGGACATTTTTCCCGATATTTATAATGATCACAGATTATATTCTATACTACAGAGTAATTTAAAATCTACGATAACTGCGGATCGAGCGAAGCGAGCGGAGCATATACCGCAACAAGAGGCACTTTCGCGTTGTGCGTGCGTGCAGAATTATTCTGGCTTAACTACGAAGCGTGGGAGGCTATCAGATAGATCAAACGACTCCCCTATATGCGGAGGTGTTGGGAAAAATCGGAAAACTCGATTATGCGAACAGCTCAAAGAGATATGCACGAAAAACTTTAATGATGGAGAAATGTCCTATCCGGGGATCGAACCGGGGACCTATGTAAAATTCATTGATTGAGTCCATGGACGTGGACTCAGTGAGCTCCGCCCCTTCGTCACGAAGGCCTAGTATAGACTCTATAATCTGTAATCTTTCATAGTAATAATAGTATTATTTTCAGTAACATTAATTCATCATTTCTATAATTATTTTCTATTTATTTTTTCGGAAATATTTTTCAATAACATTCACAAACCATGCAAACCTCCCAAACACTGTAAACTTCCAATTTCGATCAACTTCGTTATTTCAATATTTCCGCACGCTGTGTTGAAGGAATATATGCTCGCTTTCCTCAGCAGAGCCCAGGTATTTTCTGACTCGTGAAATTCACACACAAGTGCGGGTAGAGTGTACAGAAAAATCCCCAAAATTTCCTCATAATTGTCACCAATACATGTGGTTGACCATGTGCATATTTTCCGACACTATTCACACGAAATCACGAAAGTGATCAAAAAACGGCAAACGTCTATAAACAATAAGACTTACACGCCTAAGGTGGGAGCGGTCGAGCTCACAACAGTGAAGAACAGAACTACTGCGATACGTGAAGTGTGAAATATAGCCATACAGTATCTAAGTAGACATGAAGTGTATCTTTCTCGCTCAACCTAAAGATACTCAGCCGGAATCTTCAGCGTGCGTAGAATACAAATATCAACTTGACATACGCCCAAGTCAGCGAAATATTCTCCGTGAAAATCCTTTCGCGATTCCGAATCGATTATAAATGTGTTTTTCACCCACCCTTACTGCATAACCCAGTACTGTACACCAGTGACAACAAAGTACAGCGCACAGAGGGCGAACGTCATACAAACGAATCTGAAAAAAACAAGAGCGAAAAATCAGAAAATTTACATATATTTTGATTAAATTTCGATTTTCCCTATTTCACATCCCTAAAATCACCGTTCGATACCATTTACCGCGCGCCACGAAATTACCCCATAACAATTCTCATTGTAAAATCGAACCTTCCATTGCCCCCCTTACAATGGTGATGCTAATAGGCGTTTGAGCTGTGCACAAAAGCCTTTAGGATGATGATGATGATGGTGCTTGGCCGAGTCCAGCAACCTCTGGCAAGGACCAGGAGAATAAGCTGCCAATATCGATGGTCGTTTACGAGGAGTAAACCCGAAAGATGGCATACGCTGACTGAGAAAATATCAAAATCGATCACCTGATCGATTTCACAAAACCCTCGAAAGGAACCCTTACATGCTTTTGCTAGCAGTTTCCGTGAGCTCGTAATGATCCATCGGAACATCGATCAATCTCTTCTTAGTCTGAAGCAAGTAGCGCGCGCCCTGGTAATCGATTTAAAAAAGAAGCAACTTACGAATAGGAAGCCTAACAGGATAGGTACAAACAGTACAGCCTGGAGGAAGAAGTTGAATCGCCACGTCAAATACAACGCACCACCGAATCGCGCAACTAGACCAGCCACCTGAGCGGTGAAAAAAGCGCTCGCCCTACTGATCGATTTGCCACTGTGATGTTTTCCTACCAAATATCCAAGCATCGCTCCGCCTGCTACTGCAATCTGCACATACCCCATCCATTGAGTTTGATTGTCATTAGGTGCAAATTCATCAACCCATACAGGGACCTAGCATATGTGCCTCATCCGGACCTCAAGATACTCCCCCAAACTTTCATCTACTATAAAATCTTCAGAGTGCGCTTATAGTAAAATCGATAAGATTCTTTCCATGTCCGATTCTGACCATGGGCCTCATCCGGGCCTCAAGATATTCTCCCAAACTTTTATCTACTATAAAATCTTCCGAGTGCGCTTATAGTAAAATCAACAAGATACTTTCCATGTCGGATTCTGACCATAGGCCTCATCCGGACCTCAAGATACTCCCCCAAACTTTTATCTACTATAAAATCTTCCGTGTGCGCTTATAGTAAAATCAACAAGATACTTTCCATGTCCGATTCTAACCATGGGCCTCATCCGGACCTCAAGATACTCCCCCAAACTTTTATCTACTATAAAATCTTCCCAGTGCGCTTATAGTAAAATCAACAAGATTCTTTCCATGTCCGATTCTGACCATAGGCCTCTTCCGGACCTCAAGATACCCCCAATCTTACATATATAATCGGGAAGGATTGGGTTACACCCGTCACGAATCGAAACATATATCTACCGGGAAAACACCATCACAGAATGCGTCTCGAAATTAACCCCATCAACTACACCATCGATTTCGTCTTGCTCACGCTGAAGAATCCCAATGCTAAACTCTCGACAATCAACGACACCTGAAACCGGACATAACAAAATCAGATCGAAAATTTTACAGAAAATTCAGAAAATTTTTTTTCACCCTCGAATTTGAAGATGTTTCATCACATCCTGACAATGTTGGAAAATATGCACCAAGTCAACTGCATGTGTCGGTGAAAATACGAAAATTCTGGAAAATTTCTCATTAATTTCTGAACACTTCTACCCGAATTCGTATATATTTTCCTACATTTTAGTGAGGAAACTCCTGAGCTCAGATGAGGAAAGCGATTACATATATTCCTACTCCAACACTGTATAGGAAACTCCTGAGCTCAGGTGAGGAAAGCGATTACATATATTCCTACTCCAGCACTGTATAGGAAACTCCTGAGCTCAGGTGCTGAGGAAAGCGATTACATATATTCCTACTCCAACACTGTATAGGAAACTCCTGAGCTCAGGTGAGGAAAGCGATTACATATATTCCTACTCCAACACTGTATAGGAAACTCCTGAGCTCAGGTGAGGAAAGCGATTACATATATTCCTACTCCAACACTGTATAGTAAACTCCCGAGCTCAGGTGAGGAAAGCGATTACATATATTCCTACTCCAACACTGTTTAGGAAACTCCTGAGCTCAGCTGAGGAAAGCGATTATATATATTCCTACTCCAACACTGTATAGGAAACTCCTGAGCTCAGCAGCTGAGAAAAGCGATTACATATATTCCTACTCCAACACTGTATAGGAAACTCCTGCTGAGCTCAGGTGAGGAAAGCGATTACATATATTCCTACTCCAACACTGTATAGGAAACTCCTGCTGAGCTCAGGTGAGGGAAGCGATTACATATATTCCTACTACTCCAACACTCCCGCCCCATCGTACCGTAACAATCACTTTAGGTGAATATCTTTGAAATAAATATCCGGCAACTGGCGATGCAACCGTGAGTCCAGCAAACACTAATGCTCCTAGTAGCGACTAAAAGGGCATCATAAAGCAACCAACCCTTCAACAACAAAAATTACCAATATTTCCGCAAATGAAAAAATTTTACCGCGATATTTTTTCCGATTTTCTGATTTTCAAATCATCATTCCAACTGCAATCCCAAGTGATATCCAATATGAGCAAATCGATCACATGATCGATTTCAGCACTGCCCCCTTCCCCACCTGCTCAGTAAAGTTCAATTTCATTTCCTCTGCAATATCAACCAACGCTGCCGGAATCGCGCCGTGGTCGAAATTCAGCAATAACGTGGTGACAACCAACAAGCCCTGTCACCATCACCAAAAATCGATCACCAAAATTTTCTCCATCATTTCTACCAAAGTCCTCCGTCGTTTTGGAAGCTGATCCGGACGCTCTTCCCGAATGGGTAAATTCAGAAATGGCGGGCGGCTCGATCGTCGAGATGGAACTGAAAAATTTTTTTTATGCTACAGAAAAAAATTCCATATTTTCAGTGATCGAAAATTTATCAAATAAGCTTCCGAAGAGAGAAAATTATGGTGATCAATTTCACCTGTTTGGATTTCCTAAGATACGCCACGTACGATTCCGCGAAAAAACGCGAGACACCTCACAATTCCGTCGTGGATGAACTCAGGCATTAAAAATATAATAATAAAAATTTTCACCTGTGAAGTGGAAAAAAATAATTCCCATACCACACTTCGCACACTTCATAATCGCTATTCCAAGCAAACCTTATGTGTGTTACATATACATTTCCAATGTCCTTCCTATTACCCTCTTCTCCTCCTCCCAAACTCCACTGCCGTCCTGACGAATCGATCATTTCATCGTCGTTGTTGATCGTCATAGGCATGCATGAAAAAACTCCTATAGAGAAACCACATAGAACTGACTGCGTATTTTTAAAGACTTTCTCAACTTCGTCATTCAAACGTTAATTTTTTTCAGAGGAAACATTTACTAAGCAAATCTTAATAGGGTCACAACTACACCTTTTCAATCTCAATTTCAACAATTGAAAGAACAAATTTTCATTCGGTGAAAAACTCCTTTCATCCGACTAAAATCAAATTTCATTTTTCTAATTTGTTCTTCCATTTGCTGAATTCGAGATTGAAAAGGTGTAGTAGCAGAGAAACAGGAGATAGCGTATTGGTCGGACTTCACAACAAGAGCAGGTCTTGGGGAAGAGCTGACAAGCAGGAGAGTAAAAGAATCAAAGCCATCTTGAATGTAAACATAATATTTACACAGGAAATTTTTTTTGAATATCATAAAATTATAAAATTTATTGAACAAAAATAAAAAAATATACAAAAAAAATATGAATCTCATATGTGCAACCACTCAACTGCCAATGCGCTAAATTCGAGTATATCGGCTACACCTTTTAAACATCTAGTTCGTCTTTGGAACCATCAATTTCGTCGGGACGCGCGAAGTTGGAGGTACGAATCCGAAACGGGAAGATCATATTCGCAATTAGAACTTTCAACTTCGTCATAGAACATCCAAGTTCGTCCGAAGTCGATAGGAAGTTCAAATTCGTGCTAATAGAACTTTCAATTTCGGCTTTCGAACCTTCGAGTTCGTCATAGAACTTTCAACTTCGTCGAGTACACCTTTGGAACTTCAATTTCGTCCCTTTAGGAAAATCGACTTCGTCGTTCGGAACTTCAATTTCGTGTTACCGGGGCGATTATTAATTTCAACCATCTTCACGTAACCACCGCTTGGGCTTATCAAGAGACTAGCCTGATGAGGTTATCTCATCGGATTTATAATGCTGTTTTTCGGATTCCCCGACTTCAATGCAATTTTCTATGCAACATATAATATTGACCAGCCCTCCCAATGCAAAGACTACCATGTACTGATTCCGAAGGCGTTGCTTATCCCTGGATGCACATTCCTGTAACGATGATGTTTATATCACCCACTTTGC